TACCCATGAACCTCCAAGTAACTAGTAATAAGAGCCGGAGCACGCAACCTGACTGCAAGATTGCATGGTCTGGACAAGACCATCTCGATGACGCGAACCTTTCTCACACAGAAACCGAGTACCAGGATCTTTTAGATAACCTACCCACCACCCCTCCCAGCTTAGAACGCAACTGCAAACGGCAGTAGGCACCCTCCCTGTCCCAATGAAAAAAGGTAGGATCCTTAAGACGAGTACCACCCAAAACTAGCTTAAATGAGGTTGAAGACGCCTTAACGATAAGAGCTCGCCACATGAGCCGGGCAGCTCCCGTAGCCGATCCGCCTCCTCTTTGGCAGTGTGCAACCTGGTCGCCAATGTAAACTGACAAAGTCTGCAAACCCTAAACCCTAACCGTTACTATAGGGCTCCTTGTAATCACGGATCCTGCTGGTTACGTAATACCTCATCAAAAACTTATTAGGCGCTCCTCTCAGGTGACCTTTTATGATACGGTTGATGGACAAAATCCTGCATGACCCTATATACCTTAACTATGGGATTTGTGGTACTATACTATATTTGGGTCATGCAGAATTTTGTCTATCAGCACTAGGGATTCTTTACTGAGTGTGCACTAAAAAAGGCCCCAAAGCTCTTGAGCCGAGGTCCTCCTTCCGACTCCCCTTTGGAGGAGTACCGCAAAGTATACTCTTAAGACCTTTTTAAGGGGTTCTATAGGGGTTAGTCTGAGGGTTTCTAAAAGAGCTCTATGCTATATTGGGGCCTTGATAGTTGGAATAAGGATTTGCGGTACGTGTCGCGATAACTATAACGTTCCGGAAGAGTGTGACAACTAATTCAGACCCGTATGTTACCACAAGCATAGTAGCCTAGTTCAATTTTGACACATATCGTCGTGCAATTTTTTTGGTACCGAATCGATCTTCTTGGTGTTGAGGGTTCTCTGGTCCTCGTGTTTCAAGAAAGACGTCCATCTGCGTGAACTTCGGGACCTTGTATGCTGGGTGGGAAATAGAAACCCAAAGCGGTTCAGGGTGGCCTATCCAGCCCCTAAGTATATGCACGATTGATGATATGAATCCTGCATGACCCATAAGAAGTAGTATACCATAATTCCCATAGTTGCATAGTTCCGGGCCCTTAAGGCAATGCAGGATTTACACCACCAGCAGTAGAAACCCCGACAGGTTCAAGGTGGTCTATCCAGCCCCTAAGTATACTGGGCATTGAAGTAAACAGGGAGGAAGAAGCATAGACTTTTATTTCATCATGGTTCCTTTAAGGAACAGATCCCCACAAACAAGTAGTAAAGTATGGTACCCCAAAGCCCCTAAACCGTAAATCCCAAACCCTGAACCCTGAACCCTTATAGATCCCTTTAAGGAGCCCTTTAAGGTATATTCCTTAATTAAGGGGTTTTGGAGTCTCTGACTCAGGCGCCTTTTCAGCAGCTCCAGACCCTTCCGTCGGCATCGTTGCGCTGC